TTAGGGCAGACTTCTGGGGTCTCTGGGGCAGACTTCTGGGGGTCTCTGGGGCAGACTTCTGGGGTCTCTGGGGCAGACTTCTGGGGTCTCTGGGGCAGACTTCTGGGGGTCTCTGGGGCAGACTTCCGGGGTCTCTGGGGCAGACTTCTGGGGTCTCTGGGGCAGACTTCTGGGGTCTCGGGGGCAGACTTCTGGGGTCCTCGGGGCCTGGACGCGTGGCCCAGTTTGCCTGTTATTCAAACTGCAGAAGAGTTCAAGGACAGTAGGACTATCTCGGATCCTGTCTGAGACTTTGTGAGGTTCGTGAGGGTCGTGAGGTTTGTGAGGTCGTGAGGGTCGTGAGGGTCGTGAGGGTCGTGAGGTTTGTGAGGTCGTGAGGGTCGTGAGGATCGTGAGGTTCATGAGGGTCGTGAGGGTCGTGAGGATCGTGAGGTTCATGAGGGTCGTGAGGGTCGTGAGGATCGTGAGGTTCATGAGGGTCGTGAGGGTCGTGAGGATCGTGAGGTTCATGAGGGTCGTGAGGATCGTAAGGATCGTGAGGATCGTGAGGTTCATGAGGGTCGTGAGGTTCGTGAGGGTCGTGAGGGTCGTGAGGTTCGTGAGGGTCGTGAGGTTCATGAGGGTTGTGAAGTTCGTGAGGGTCGTGAGGTTGTGAGGGTTGTGAGGTTCATTTGGGTCGTGAGGTTCATGAGGGTTGTGAGGGTCGTGAGGTTCATGAGGGTCGTGAGGTTTATGAGGTTCGCGAGGGTCGTGAGGTTCATGAGGGTCGTGAGGTTCGCGAGGGTCGTGAGGTTCATGAGGGTCGTGAGGGTCGTGAGGGTCGTGAGGTTCGTGAGGTTCGCGAGGGTCGTGAGGTTCATGAGGGTCGTGAGGTTCGCGAGGGTCGTGAGGTTCATGAGGGTCGTGAGGTTTATGAGGTTCGCGAGGGTCGTGAGGTTCATGAGGGTCGTGAGGTTCGCGAGGGTCGTGAGGTTCATGAGGGTCGTGAGGTTCGTGAGGGTCGTGAGGGTCGTGAGGTTCGTGAGGGTCGTGAGGTTCATGAGGGTCGTGAGGGTCGTGAGGTTCATGAGGGTCGTGAGGTCGTGAGGTTCATGAGGGTCGTGAGGGTCGTGAGGTTCGTGAGGGTCGTGAGGTTCATGAGGGTCGTGAGGTTCACGAGGGTCGTGAGGTTCACGAGGGTCGTGAGGTTCGTGAGGGTCGTGAGGTTCACGAGGGTCGTGAGGTTCATGAGGTTCGCGAGGGTCGTGAGGTTCATGAGGGTCGTGAGGGTCGTGAGGGTCGTGAGGTTCGTGAGGGTCGTGAGGGTCGTGAGGGTCGTGAGGTTCGTGAGGGTCGTGAGGTTCGTGAGGGTCGTGAGGTTCGTGAGGGTCGTGAGGGTCATGAGGTTCGCGAGGGTCGTGAGGTTCATGAGGGTCGTGAGGGTCGTGAGGGTCGTGAGGTTCATGAGGGTCGTGAGGGTCGTGAGGGTCGTGAGGTTCGTGAGGGTCGTGAGGTTCATGAAGTTCGCGAGGGTCGTGAGGTTCATGAGGGTCGTGAGGGTCGTGAGGGTCGTGAGGTTCATGAGGGTCGTGAGGGTCGTGAGGTTCATGAGGTTCGCGAGGGTCGTGAGGTTCATGAGGGTCGTGAGGGTCGTGAGGGTCGTGAGGTTCATGAGGGTCGTGAGGTTCACGAGGGTCGTGAGGTTCACGAGGGTCGTGAGGTTTGTGAGGGTCGTGAGGTTCGCGAGGGTCGTGAGGTTCATGAGGGTCGTGAGGGTCGTGAGGTTCATGAGGGTCGTGAGGTTCACGAGGGTCGTGAGGTTCACGAGGGTCGTGAGGTTTGTGAGGGTCGTGAGGTTCGCGAGGGTCGTGAGGTTCATGAGGGTCGTGAGGGTCGTGAGGTTCATGAGGGTCGTGAGGGTCGTGAAGTTCATGAGGGTCGTGAGGGTCGTGAGGGTCGTGAGGTTCATGAGGGTCGTGAGGGTCGTGAGGTTCGTGAGGGTCGTGAGGGTCATGAGGTTCGCGAGGGTCGTGAGGTTCATGAGGGTCGTGAGGGTCGTGAGGGTCGTGAGGTTCATGAGGGTCGTGAGGGTCGTGAGGGTCGTGAGGTTCGTGAGGGTCGTGAGGTTCATGAGGGTCGTGAGGTTCACGAGGGTCGTGAGGTTCACGAGGGTCGTGAGGTTTGTGAGGGTCGTGAGGTTCACGAGGGTCGTGAGGTTCACGAGGGTCGTGAGGTTCATGAGGTTCACGAGGGTCGTGAGGTTCACGAGGGTCGTGAGGTTCACGAGGGTCGTGAGGTTCATGAGGGTCGTGAGGTTCATGAGGGTCGTGAGGTTTATGAGGTTCGTGAGGGTTGTGAGGTTCATGAGGGTCGTGAGGTTCGTGAGGGTCGTGAGGGTCGTGAGGTTCATGAGGGTCGTGAGGGTCGTGAGGTTCGTGAGGGTCGTGAGGTCGTGAGGGTCGTGAGGTTCATGAGGGTCGTGAGGTTCATGAGGGTCGTGAGGTTTATGAGGTTCGTGAGGGTCGTGAGGTTCATGAGGTTCGCGAGGGTCGTGAGGTTCATGAGGGTCGTGAGGGTCGTGAGGTTCATGAGGTTCATGAGGGTCGTGAGGTTCATGAGGGTCGTGAGGTTCACGAGGGTCGTGAGGTTCACGAGGGTCGTGAGGTTCGTGAGGTTCACGAGGTTCGTGAGGTTCACGAGGGTCGTGAGGTTCACGAGGGTCGTGAGGTTCATGAGGTTCGCGAGGGTCGTGAGGTTCATGAGGGTCGTGAGGGTCGTGAGGGTCGTGAGGTTCGTGAGGGTCGTGAGGTTCATGAGGGTCGTGAGGTTCGTGAGGGTCGTGAGGTTCATGAGAGTCGTGAGGTTCATGAGGGTCGTGAGGTTCATGAGGGTCGTGAGGGTCGTGAGGTTCATGAGGTTCATGAGGGTCGTGAGGTTCATGAGGGTCGTGAGGTTCGTGAGGTTCACGAGGGTCGTGAGGTTCACGAGGGTCGTGAGGTTCATGAGGTTCGCGAGGGTCGTGAGGTTCATGAGGGTCGTGAGGGTCGTGAGGGTCGCGAGGTTCGTGAGGGTCGTGAGGTTCATGAGGGTCGTGAGGTTCGTGAGGGTTGTGAGGTTCATGAGGGTCGTGAGGTTCATGAGGTTCGCGAGGGTCGTGAGGTTCATGAGGGTTGTGAGGTTCATGAGGGTCGTGAGGTTCGTGAGGGTCGTGAGGTCGTGAGGGTCGTGAGGTTCATGAGGGTCGTGAAGTTCATGAGGTTCGCGAGGGTCGTGAGGTTCATGAGGGTCGTGAGGTTCATGAGGTTCGCGAGGGTCGTGAGGTTCATGAGGGTCGTGAGGTCGTGAGGCTCATGAGGGTCGTGAGGTTCATGAGGGTCGTGACGTTCATGAGGGTCGTGAGGTTCATGAGGGTCGTGACGTTCATGAGGGTCGTGAGGTTCATGAGGGTCGTGAGGTTCATGAGGTTCGCGAGGGTCGTGAGGTTCATGAGGGTCGTGAGGTCGTGAGGGTCGTGAGGTCGTGAGGGTCGTGAGGTTCATGAGGGTCGTGAGGTTCATGAGGTTCGCGAGGGTCGTGAGGTTCATGAGGTTCGCGAGGTTCATGAGGGTCGTGAGGGTCGTGAGGTCGTGAGGTTCATGAGGTTCATGAGGGTCGTGAGGTTCATGAGGGTCGTGAGGGTCGTGAGGTCGTGAGGTTCATGAGGGTCGTGAGGTTCATGAGGGTCGTGAGGTTCATGAGGTTCATGAGGGTCGTGAGGTTCATGAGGGTCGTGAGGTTCATGAGGGTCGTGAGGTTCATGAGGGTCGTGAGGTTCATGAGGGTCGTGAGGTTCATGAGGGTCGTGACGTTCATGAGGGTCGTGAGGTTCATGAGGGTCGTGAGGGTCGTGAGGAGGAGCAGTTTATCAGATGGAGACGTGCAGAGCCGAGCCTCACTATCACAGTCGCTGAAAAACACAAATGGAAGTGAAGTCGGTGAAGTGTGACGGACCCAACATTAAAATGCATTAAAAAGACACTTTTGTCAACGCAGTGTTATCACAGGGATAAGTGTTTCAGTCCCAGTCTGGTCCTCACTCAGACCTGTTTCAGACCTTCTCTACTCTACTCTACTTTACCATACCCTACCCTACTCTATTCTACCCTACTCTTACTCTATTATACCCTGCTCTACTATACCCCACTCTACTCTACTCTACTCTAACCTACTCTACTTTACCCTTTTCTACTATACCCTACTCTACTCTACTATACTCTATTCTACCTTACTCGAATATACCCCTCTACTCTACTCTACCATACCCTGCTCTACTCTACTCTACCATTCCCTACTCTACTCTACCCTTCTCTACTCTACTCTCCCCTACCCCACTCTACTCTACTCTACTCTCCCCTACCCCACTCTACTCTACTCTACCATACCCTACTCTACCCTTCTCTACTCTACTCTCCCCTACTCTACTCTACCCTACTCTCCTATACCCCACTCTACTCTACTCTTCTCTACTCTACTCTACTCTACCAACTCTACTCTACTCTACTCTACCCTATTCTACCCCAAGACCTAGTTTAGACCGGTGTGATCCCCAGATGGTTGTGGACTGTGTGATACCCTCCCCTTCTCATATACAAGTCCAGCCCAGTCACACCATGGGTCTGTTCACAAAATGCCGGCGCCACCTGGTGTGTGACGCTGGCGGTGCAGTGGGACAGGCGGAAGCGGAAACACAGGTGGATTCTGACATCACGGAGATTTTTCAACTTTTCTTCGAAGTAACTGCTCGATTAGTCCAACCCTCCCTTCTTTATTATCCCAGCCAATAAAGTCAACATATGAAATCCTGAACTACATTTTAAACACAAGTCTAGACTGAGTTTTGTGTCGTTCTCTGCAGAATTCCCGTGTGTTTTTGCCGCTGACAAGTGCCACGGCTCTGATTGATGCCATGAAAAATGAATGAGGATATTTATCTTGTGTTGCTGATTTAATATTACATGAAGTCCTGCTGTCTCGTCATTAATAAGTCAAAGTGCGCTTATCCACAGTCTCCACATCACACACTCGGAGCATGACTTATTCATGTGCTGAGGACGGGGCCCAGGGTTCAGCAGCGAGAGGCGGCTCCACCTCCAGCAGCGAGAGGCGGCTCCACCTCCAGCAACGAGAGGCGGCTCCACCTCCAGCAACGAGAGGCGGCTCCACCTCCAGCAGCGAGAGGCGGCTCCACCTTCAGCAGCGAGAGGCGGCTCCACCTTCAGCAGCGAGAGGCGGCTCCACCTTCAGCAGCGAGAGGCGGCTCTACCTCCAGCAACGAGAGGCGGCTCCACCTCCAGCAGCGAGAGGCGGCTCCACCTCCAGCAGCGAGAGGCGGCTCCACCTCCAGCACCGAGAGGCGGCTCCACCTCCAGCAGCGAGAGGCGGCTCCACCTCCAGCAGCGAGAGGCGGCTCCACCTCCAGCAGCGAGAGGCGGCTCCACCTTCAGCATCGAGAGGCGGCTCCACCTTCAGCAGCGAGAGGCGGCTCCACCTTCAGCAGCGAGAGGCGGCTCTACCTCCAGCAACGAGAGGCGGCTCCACCTCCAGCACCGAGAGGCGGCTCCACCTCCAGCAGCGAGAGGCGGCTCCACCTCCAGCAGCGAGAGGCGGCTCCACCTCCAGCAACGAGAGGCGGCTCCACCTTCAGCAGCGAGAGGCGGCTCCACCTTCAGCAGCGAGAGGCGGCTCCACCTCCAGCAACGAGAGGCGGCTCTACCTCCAGCAACGAGAGGCGGCTCCACCTCCAGCAACGAGAGGCGGCTCCACCTTCAGCAGCGAGAGGCGGCTCCACCTTCAGCAGCGAGAGGCGGCTCTACCTCCAGCAACGAGAGGCGACTCCACCTCCAGCAACGAGAGGCGGCTCCACCTTCAGCAACGAGAGGCGGCTCCACCTTCAGCAGCGAGAGGCGGCTCCACCTCCAGCAGCGAGAGGCGGCTCTACCTCCAGCAACGAGAGGCGGCTCCACCTTCAGCAGCGAGAGGCGGCTCCACCTTCAGCAACGAGAGGCGGCTCCACCTTCAGCAGCGAGAGGCGGCTCCACCTTCAGCAGCGAGAGGCGGCTCTACCTCCAGCAACGAGAGGCGGCTCCACCTTCAGCAGCGAGAGGCGGCTCTACCTCCAGCAGCGAGAGGCGGCTCCACCTCCAGCAGCGAGAGGCGGCTCCACCTCCAGCAGCGAGAGGCGACTCCATCTTCAGGAAACGTTACACACTTCACCATAAACATCACTCTCCAGGCGCCTGGGAAAGTTGTCAGGGAGTAAGAGAGTAGGTCCTTACTCCCCTCTGCTCTACTCTACTCTATTACTCTACCCTATACTCTGCTCTACCCTCCGCGTGGAGGAACAGCATCTCTTTTTTTCACCTTTAACCTGGAAAGTCCCATTGAGATTAACCCTTAAAAGACGATGCCATCGCCGACGATGGTGGCGCACATGTTTTACAAATGATCAATTTACTCGCGAACCGTTAACGCTAGCGACTTACTTTTTTTTTCTCCGTGAAGTACACATTCCAGCCTTTCCGAAACTGCCTTCGGTTTTTCTCTGCTACATACGGGGGATAAACTACGTGTGTATGAAAGTCAGTCCCCCAAACGGATCTTCAAGCGGTGCCCCGTGAGCCAGGCACAGCCGCATGTGAAGTTGTTTACTCACACGGGGACTCAGACAAAGATTGTCAGAGAGTGAGATCTCTCACTCCTCTGTGTTTACTTGTTGCAGCATAGGCAGCAGCGCTCAGAGGAACCAGAGGAGTTCACATTATTGAGAATAGACAATAATAAATACAGTAAAATTATATTATGTGTATATAATGTATTTGTATATATAAATTAGATGTTTTTTTTTTGTCTTTGTTTCTTTTTTTTAACATATTTTACAGCTGTGATACAGAAGCAACCACAGCCTCGTAGACAAACTGCTTGAGGAAGCGCATCAGGAGTACAGCGTTTTTGGCTTTTATAGAGGAATTTTGTAAAAAGTATAATAGTTACGGATTCAAATTTTTTCCCCATTATCCCCAAGACCATAAAACACATTTCTATGCAGTGTAAACAGTTGTTTATAGAATTTCATTGTGTTTTTCAATACATTTTTGTGAAATTGATTTTCCGTTTCGATTTTTTCTTTTGTCTTCATGACTCCAAATTTTTTATATAATTGATATGACAGCTCTAAAATATAGATATTCTAAAACCCCAGGTTGTACTGAAAAAAACAAAGTATACTGCTTGACTCTGCATCAAAAAATGACTGTTTTATGAGCAATTATACACAAAGAAAACCAGGCGAGGAAAGTTCCCCGAAATGACCCTAGACCTTGGAGGGTAAAGAACCTCTTTTTCAAGGGAGTCCTGGACAAAAGTTACATACAGTTACATACATTACAGGTTATAAAACATTTACATACATTAAAGATTATAAAACATTTACATACATCAAAGATTATAAAACAGTTACATACATTACAGATTATAAAACAGTTACATACATTACAGATTATAAAACAGTTATGTAGGATAAATTAAAATGACCTCTTTCCTCAATCAAAGACATTTTGTTGTATATTGAGACATATTATAACTTCTGTCTCAACTGTGTGTAAATCCTTGTGGTTCAGCTTTTATTGTGGGCAAGAATGTCTTAAGATAAGTGCCATGGCAACACCCTTCCCCCAACGACTCTACAACAAGGGAAGAAAAACCAGTCTGCTTTGGAACCACGGAGTGACGAGACCTCCCTGGGCTCTGCCCTGGGCTCTGCTTAGGCAACCAAGGGGCCTTGGGCCTCTTAGATGGCCTCAAACCTCAGCTCCACGTTTGAGAGGACTTCCACAACCCTTCAATAGCCTCCAGCTTCAACCTGAAGAAGTTGCTGAGTTTTGGCACCTAGACTGTGGATCGTGGGAGGACCACATGATGCAGCCGCATGGTCCAGGCCCTGGGGACAAGAAGCCTCCATCCAACGCCATCAAGACCCAAGGACTGCTATTCACCCAAGGCTATTCTGGTTGTATGATCTGCTCTCTTGCTACACACAGTTGTTGGCTTTATTAAAACCTATACTTCAAAGAATACTTCTCTTACCAAGGCTGAACACATGCAGGCCTCAGCCTATACCAATCCATTCATAGACAAAGGTCTTGCTTAGCTCACTTTAGCCTAGCATTTTAACAATGTATCTTGAAATCAACGTTTCCTTCATGTTATTCTTGACAATTTGCATATTTCATATCTAGTCTGTATTGTGTATACTTCATTAAATCTACAAAACCATCTTTGTCTGAAAGTGATATTTGTACTTTTAACTCCAGAAATTGGGTCACTGATTTGTAAAAGAATTCACTACCTTCAGATTCTATTGAAGAGAATTGGACTAATTAGCTAATTAAATAATGAAAGGACTCATGAGATTACTTAATCAATAAATGAGCCAATTAATTGATATTGTGACGTCATATGCACGTTATCAGTTGGGAGTTATTCCCTGGTGCCCCTAAATAAAGCTATTATCAATTATTGTATTTATTACATGGTTGTTTTTGATCCAATTCTCCGATATCAGGTACATAACTTAAGTTATGTGTGATATCGACATTTTCTCACCCTACAGTTACATACATTACAGATTATAAAACAGTTACATACATTACAGATTATAAAACAGTTACATACATTACAGATTATAAAACAGTTACATACATTACAGATTATAAAACAGTTACATACATTACAGATTATAAAACAGTTACATACATTACAGATTATAAAACAGTTACATACATTACAGATTATAAAACAGTTACATACATTACAGATTATAAAACAGTTACATACATTACAGATTATAAAACAGTTACATACATTACAGATTATAAAACAGTTACATACATTACAGATTATAAAACAGTTACATACATTACAGATTATAAAACAGTTACATACATTACAGATTATAAAACAGTTACATACATTACAGATTATAAAACAGTTACATACATATTATAAAAACAGTCAAACAGTCATTTCAATGAGGATGTCTCAAGTGCTCTCAATCTGGATCTAAAAGCATTCAATGAAATAAGTTCAGATAATTTCCAGTCTTTTTGCAACACCTCCCATGTAGAAGGAGCAGTATGTACAAATGTTTTCCCAGTTCTGTGCTGAGAAAAGGAACAGAGAACAACAAAAGATCATTTGATCGCAAACCATGTGAACCAACATCTCTTTGTGTGAGTAAATGGCAGATGTAAGAGGGCAGCAGACCAAGCCTTATAAACAAAAGTGCACCAGTGTCCAAACCTTCTAGTGGACAAAGAAGGCTATCCCACTCGAGAATATAATTCACAATGAGTCAAGGCTTTACAGTTTATAATGAACCTCAGAGAAGAATGATACAAAGTGTCAATCTGACGGAGACTTTGAGTTGAGACATTCATACATATCAGGTCTCCATAATCCAAAATAGTTAAACATGTTGCAGTAAAAAGCCACTCTACTCTGAGCTCCACCTGTGTGACTGAGATCCTCTCTGTCTCAAAGGCATTTTAACATCCAATTTAGGAACCAAAAATACATCCTTATTTTTGGGATGACATGGGTCGAGCTCACCATGACCGATGTCACCTGCTCCCACTGATGTCTGCTGTGGTTGTGTCCTTGGGCAAGACACTTAACCCCACATTGCCTGAAGCCCTCGCTGAAAGACCAAGGCCATCTCATTAATGACGGAGAAGCCATCATCCTGTAGACCCACCACCTGCAGGAGGATCAGAGGGACTGGTGCTCTGAGACTTGGGCAGCTCTGGTTGTGACCCCTCGACCCAGAGATGGAATTATAAAGAGGTAGAGAATGACATGACATGACAAATAGATCATTATTTACAATGTTTTTACTTAATTTATTCATGTAATGTTTTATCTTTTGTGAGAAATAAAACAATTGTTAAATGGAAGCAAAGAGTGATGAAAAACAAGTCAAAACATTTTCAAATTTGGCAAAGTGTATCTTAAATGAGCAAATTCTGACTGAGCCTTAAAACATGAGGAATGAGAAAATAAAGACAAAAGACTAAATGGCTTTGTCCCGTTGGAAAAGATAAAAACCACTGGTTTCAAATTGTTACTGATCACCTCATATTTTATATATGTTTTTCCCGTGGTAACCGTGGTAACATTGAGAAAGCTCATGTTGTGTTATTCCTCACAGGTTCAGGACTCTATTCTGTTTTCAACAAATCTGCGCCGTCAGACTTTTTAATTTGGAACAACCACAAGTGAATCTCGCTAACTGCCGCCCTTTTGTCTCTGCTAATCGAGCTAATCCTCGCCACGGCTCGCCCTAATGCGCCCTAATGCGCCCGGCCCAAAAACCCTAAGCGCTCCTTCTGCGTCTAAGTGCCTCCATTCATCAGCCGGCTCCTCTGAAGGGCGCGCTCCCCTTCAACACACGCCGTAATGAAAGCGGCGCTGGAGCGTGGCGCCCAAACCACAAACAACTCAGGCCGATCAGAGCGAAGCCGGCGCTAACGCAGACTACGCTAACGCAGACTACGCTAACGGAGACGACGCTAATGGAGACGACGCTAACGCAGACTTCGCTAACGTAGACTACGCTAACGCACGGCTATCAACGTCCAGACGGTGAAACTGAACTAGGGAACTCTGACACCTCAAAACTACACATTAGAAGGGTGGAAACACAGGGCTCTTAAGTCTCTCTCTCTCTCTTCTCCATCCTTTCTCATCTCCTCTCTACCTTTTCTCCTCTCTCTTCTCTCTCGTGCCTCTCTCTCTTTCCACTCTCCCCTTTCTCAATCTCTCCTCTCTTTCCACTCCTCTCTTCCCCTCTTCTCTGTCTTTCCCTCTCCCTTCTCTTCTCCTCCCTCCTCTCCTTCCCCTTTCCTCACCTTCTCTCTCTCCTCTCTCCCCCTCTTCTCTCCCTTTTCCTTTTCCCTCTCCTCTATCTCGTCTCCTCTCTCCCCTCCTTCCTTACTCTCCTCACCTCTTTCTCATCTCCTCTCTTCCTCTCCTATGCTGCTCTCCTCTCCTCTCTTCTCTCCCCTCTCCTGTACTCTCTCTCTCCTTCCTCGCTCTCTCCTTCCTATCTCTCCTCTCTATCTCTTCTCCTCTCCTTTCTGTCCTTTCTTCTCTCTCTTCTCTCTCTTCTCTCTCTTCTTTCCTCCTAGAAGTGTCTAAAAATGTAGGTAAGGCCCTGTCCACACAAAGTCAAATTTAGGCCAAAATGCAACAATACTTCACCCAGTCCAGTCTATCGTTCATACACAGCCAAAATGTATGTGTGTGTCTATGTGTGTGTGTGTCTGTGTGTGCGAGTCTGTGTGTGTATCTGTGTCTCTGTATGTGTGTGTGTGTCTCTCTCTGTGTGTATGTGTGTGTGTGTCTGTGTCTCTGTGCGTGTGTCCGTGTATGTGTGTCTGTGTGTGTGTGTGTCTCTCTGTATGTGTGTGTGTGTCTGTGTCTCTCTCTGTGTGTCTGTGTCTCTGTGCGTGTGTCCGTGTATGTGTGTGTGTGTGTGTCTCTCTGTATGTGTGTGTGTGTCTGTGTCTCTCTCTGTGTGTCTATGTGTGTGTGTGTGTGTGTGTGCACTTGTTTTCAACTCCTAGTGGGTTCCATAACCTGAGATTCCGCTCACGTCATGGGGACTGGTTTTACGTGGTGGGGCCCGAACACCGGACCCCACTGGTCCAAGCTTAATAATCAATGGGTAATGCTTTTCTAACGGTCCTTATGCAGTCTCTGTAAAAATATGGAAAGGACCCCTGGAGGTTTACTTTCCTGAAAAAAGTGTGTTATGTGTCGGAACCCTGGTGGTGGGTTGCGGGATATCAAGGAGGGGCACACTGGGGCAATTTCAGTCCAGCAGGCTGGAGCCAATCATGGAGCAGCACAACAGAGGAAGTCAGGTGTCAGGCTAGAAAAGGTGCAAGTGTGTGGTTCATTAGGCTGCAGCCAATCACAGAACAGCACACTGAAGCGCACGCTTACAAACCACTGGTAAGTGCTGACTACAAGTCATGACTTCAAATTGTTATATAGAATGATTACAAATTATTTGTTGTTTGTGCAGCTTAGTCAAGAGTCCCTAATTGATGAATTCGACTCAGATTCTGACGATTTAACTGTCAAGAAGAAACCTGTAAAAAAGTATGGAAAAAGAAAAATCAGAAACACTTTTCTTCAAGACTCGGAAAGTGACGAACCAAAGGCAAATAAGATTGTTATCATGCAGCTGCAAAAGAAGAAAAATGGGGGGCGAGTTTACAGCAAGAGACACTTCTGCCTCTACTGTTCAATGTCCTGCCACAAAATGTCCCGTCATTTGTCTAGAAAACATGGAAATGAAAGTGACGTAGCCAGAGCATTGGCTCTCCCTGTGAAATCTAAAGCACGTAAACTTCAGTTTGATTTGATCAGGAATAGTGGAAACCGTGAGCACAATTTTGAGGTTTTAAAGGCCGGCATTGGAACTTTAGTCCCAGCTAAACAGCCAAATTGCCCAGTTAAATCCAGTGAGTTTTTGCACTGTATAGACTGTGGGGCATTGCTTAAGCGAAAGTCGCTGTGGAGGCATGTGGCCAGGTGCCGGCTTTCACAGAAAGATGCCCAGGCTAAACCAGGTAGAAGTAGGGTCCAGTCCCTCTGCTCCCTAGCCCAGCCTGTACCGGAGGGCATCAGCAAAAAGCTGTGGTCTTTAATTTGGGCAATGCATCAGGATGAGGTCACGGGTGTTGTCAAAGCAGAAAAGGGGATTCTGAGACTCGGAGAACACCTGTACTTAAAACACGGGCATGATAAGACTAAGCATGATTACATTAGGCAGAAAATGAGAGAAGTCGGTAGGTTAATTAACGAAGCAAAAACCGCAGGGAAACTGAAAACAATTAAGGATTTCTTTATTCCTTCCAACTTTAACCATGTGATTGATGCAGTCAGGTCTGTGGCTGGATATGATGAGGAAACAAATCAATACAAGACTCCATCCTTGGCCCTCAAACTCGGCCATAGCCTCAGAAAGCTAGCAGATATTCTTGAATGTGACTCAAAAATGGAGCATTGTGTTGATGAACTATTTATTAAAAACCTCCAACGAAGCCGGTTGCTTTTTGAGAAGAGGTGGGACGTCTGTGTTTCTTCTGCTGCCCTACAGACCCTCCGGCAAGCCAAGTGGAACACTCCGGACCTGCTCCCTCTGACTGAGGACGTTAGAGCCATGCATGCACATATTGAGGTATGTCGACCTGAATATGTGCAAACCCTAATAAGTGAGCCAACGTCTAAGCATTGGTCTAAACTGGCAGTTTTGACTCTTTGTGAGGTCATCATTTTCAATCGAAGAAGGGAAGGTGAGGTTTCAAAGATGCCACTGACAGCGTTCACCTTAAGAAGTAAGACTGGGATCCATTCTGACATTGCTCTGGGACTGTCCGAACTTGAGAAAAAGCTGTGTCAGCATTTTCAACGCATTGAAATTAAAGGGAAAAGAAGTCGGAAAGTGCCGGTTCTTTTGACTCCTGAAATGATTGCTTCGATGGAGGTGCTGGTGGAGAACAGAAGGGCCTGTTCCATCTCTGACCATAACCCATACTTCTTCTCCCACCCGGGCGCAGACACCCACATCAGGGGATCAGACTCCCTACGGCAGGTAGCCAAAGAATGTGGTGCGGTGCATCCAGAAATGCTATCCTCAACCAAACTTAGAAAGCACATAGCTACTATGTCTACAGTTCTCAATATGAAAGAGAATGAAATGGACATACTAGCCAACTTCCTCGGCCATGACATTCGCATCCACAGACAATATTACAGACTACCAGAGGGGACACTGGAGCTGGCCAAAATCAGCAAAGTGTTGCTGGCCATGGAGCAGGGAAGAGTGACGGAATTCAAAGGAAAGAGCCTCGACCAGATACAAATTGAGCCTGAAGGTAATTCTTGATATTATTAAAATATGTATGATTTTTTTCCCCTAAAGGCCACTTGTATTTTTATTTTCTGTGCGACAGGGAGAGCAGTAGAGATCCTCTCACAAACGGACAGGCTAAAAGAAACTTCAAGCGGAGAACCTTCAACCATTCATCCAGATGCACCCCATGGTAGTGGCAGTGCCCCTTCTGGTAAGTGTACCAGATGGGGGATTACAGCCAGGCTGCTTGGTCCTCACCCTGGGAGTGTATATTGCTGATATATTTTTATTTCTCTCCCTAGAACGTTAGAGAAAGCCATGGTCTGCATCTGAGGTGAAGGCTGTGGAGAAGACCATGACGCCTTTCATACAGACTGGAAAAGTCCCTGGGAAGTCTCACTGCCTGGCCTGGCCTGGCCTGCATTAATGCCTCACCAGATGACCTGGTGACATCGGACATGGAGTGGCATTAAATTCTACTGTATGTCAAAAATAGAATCACTGCAATTCGGGAAAAAAAAAAATCATAATTCCTTTAAAAGAGTTGTTTGTTTTCTATTGACTGTTTTGTATTACTTAAAGTAGTCCCAGTAAAAAAGATTATGTCTATGGGTCCCATTCTGAACGGCCCTGTCAAAGGGACCCACCAGGTAACAAAAACGTGTATGTGTGTGTGTGTGTGTGCCCACCAATATAAAGTACAGTTCAAATAATACCCAAGTTTTGTCTGTTTGAGGTTCTCCGTTCACTGTTTTCATGATGCACGTTTTACTTTATCAAACCACACAAGTTACACTTTAGTTTCCAAGGATCATTTTCACAACACAACCCTCACAGAAACTAGTATTTTTACGCACACTCTTTGTGTAATGTTTTCTACAGTGTCACCATTAAATGTCCTTAAAAACACCCGCCTCATTTGTTGGGCAAACCCAAATGTCTTTGCTTATTTAAAAACACATCTTACATCTCACATGCTTGTGTGATGCATCATTTTGAAGCTAGAGCCTTCTAGTTTATGTAAAAAAACACATGTCTGTCATTCCTATTTCACTCTGCATCCTTTGAAGTTTGGGAAAAAAAAACTATTTTTTTGGCCTTGCCTAAAATTTTCCATTTCTAAAGGTCCTAAAAAAGGCATACTTCATTGTAAGTTCACAATATTCAAACCCTGTAGTCATTGTGTTGTTGACAACAACTGTCTAAAGTTTCAGACTTCTAAGTTGTATAGTTTTTATGCAGTTTATCTTTTTTAACAAGTAGTGCACAATATATAAATGCTTTACTGACATTTCACCATCATAAAAACCATGTTTTATTATTGGTACTTATAAGTTACTAATCTATGTGATTTTTTTTTTTTTTTAAGTCAGAATAATCAGAATAATCTCTCCTCTATTCCGCTTCTTTTGCGGTACAAAGCAGGGCTGCCCGCTCTCTCCCCTTATCTTTGCTATCGCCGTGGAACCACTGGCCATTGCTATGAGGAACAATCCTAAGATATTAGGGGTACAAGCTGGCCGAGAGGAACATAAAATATTCCTCTACGCTGATGACCTCGTTTTGGTTTTACAAAACCCCAATGTCTAAGTCTAAGTCTGAGGCTATGCCAATCTCTAAAACATCCAATAACATGGCCAATACCAAGTATGGTATACCTAGGAATTAAACTTACAAATAGTATTGAGGATATGATGCGCTTAAACCTTAAACCAGTAATT